GAAATTTGGATTTATAATTGAACAGTGTGAAACAGATAACCAGTGCATTTCAATGGTTTCTACTTAATTCTACTTAATTGAGAGTTTAATAAGGAATGCTATCTTAATTCTTAAGGATTCTGAATATACTTCTACAAAAAAAGTTCTCTACAACTTGTACTTTAAATATCACCACGAAAATTTGTCAGATTATTCTGTTTTAAGCATGCAGGCCTTTACACTTTTATACTATGATTTTTTTTTCTCTGATTAATAAAAGAACAATACATCCTTTAGAAAGTTTGGAAAATTTTGGCATTTGTCCCCTTGCAGACTTTTTTCCCATAAGTCCTATACTTGATGGAGATATTACAGCAGGCGAAATTGTCAATACTGGTTTTGAAGTTTTACTTAACTTTATAGTCTATAGTCAGTAGTCTTCCATGTCATTGGAATTCCTTACATACATCATCCAAGTGTCTATAGCCAAGGTTTTCAAGGAATGGGCCTCAGATCAGCAACATAGATGTTGCATGGGAGCTGCAAATGCAGACCCACCAGGACCTTCTGGATCAGAGGTTCGGACGGGGGTGCCCCGAAATCTGTGGCTTAACAGGCCTGTAGGTGATGCTGATGCAAAGTAAGTCTGAGAACCACAGCCATACCGTCCTGCTCTTAGTCTCCTGGGGGGAAATAAGGATTTTCTTTTTGCTGTTCTAAGTGTTTTACAGAACGCTTTGTTCACATTTCTGAATATTCTTTTTTCTTTTTTTAAAAATATTTTTATTTATTTTTTGACAGAGAGAGACACAGCGAGAGAGGGAACACAAGCAGGGGGAGTGGGAGAGGGAGAAGCAGGCTCCCTCTGAGTGGGGAGCCCGATGCGGGGCTCGATCCCAGCACCCTGGGATCATGACCTGAGCCGAAGGCAGACGCTTAACGACTGAGCCACAGGCGCCTCCTGAGTATTTCTTTAGAATAAAATAGTTAATCAAATGTGTAAGCACCTAGTGAAAGGCTGTGACTCACAGAGACTGAATTCTTTCTGTATGCAGTTGTGGCAGTTTCTACTATTCCAAAGAGAGCTTGAGATGCTCGGTCTGACCACAGTCTTCCTCTTACGCAAGCTTGTTCTTTATGTACTTTTTCATAGTAAGTTATTTGTATCTCATTTTGTCTTCTATAGCTTTTTCTTTTCGTTTTTAGAGAGAGAGAGAGTGTGTGTGTGTGTGTGTGTGCAAGTGTCAGGGGCAGAGGGAGAGGGAGAAAGAGAATCCTAAGTAGGCTCTGGCTGGGGGGCAAGGGGGTGGGGTTGGATCTCATGACCCTGAGATCATGACCTGAGCTGAAATCTAGAGTCGGTGGCTCAACTGACTGAGCCACCCAGGCCCCCCTATAGCTTTTTCTTAATAGCAAGGATGTGTTAAAGGTTCTGTTCTTTTGTCTTGACATGTTGCTTGTGATCATTTTAACTACAGATATTTTTCAGTTGACCTGGTGAATCCTATATATTTATTTATTTTTATGCCATTTCTCATTCCAGAGATTAAATAATACTTATATTTTCTTCTGTTTACATGAAAAAATTTAGAGCTGTAGTCCACCCAGATTTTTTTTTTTTACTGTAGCAAAAGTCTAAATAGCATTTTCAAAGTGGTTAACAATTTTCCCAGAATACTGTCAATGAATATTTTAATCATAACTTTCATTTTCTCACCAGGATTGCCTGTTTGATTTAACCTTAGCATCTGTGATACTCAAATTATTTCAGTATAACAAGTGTGGTCCTTTGATAGTCCTATGTTACAATGCAAAATAATTTCAGGTATTTTGTTCATTTATTTTTTATAATGTACTAAGAGCTTAAAAAGCTGATTCTTATTTGATGGGGAGAAAATTTCATTGTTCCTTTTGTAGGAGTGGTTCAATGTATTTTTGTCTGAATAAATTTAGCTTTCCCTTTCTCCATCATATTTGCACAAAAGCCATTCTTAGACTGTATGTACAAAGTCTCTAAAGTTCACACATTTTTCTACTTTTATTCACCTTATAGGTTCAACGAGTTTGAAAAATGAAAATAATATTTATTATTTGACTTAGTTTCACTTTGTACAAAAGAATGAGTGGATGTAGATTTTGAGCTCCTATCATGAAAAAAAAATCGCACCTAAGTAGTAGGTCAGGAAGGAAGAAGTAATCTGAGGGAAAGATCAGGGAGAATCCGATGAAAAGCATGATTTTCAGGTTGCTGTAGGATTGCAGGCTGTGTGGGAATCGCAGAGCAAACATTGGGCTTTACTTTCAAGGTTAGAGGGAAGTCATGCTGTTCATCAGCCACAGCCTGGCCCCTTCCTGCAGGAGGGGAGACTGGCGAGTTTGCTGCCCCAAAGAGAGGGGGCAATGGGGACAGCTCCCAGGTTCCAATTCACTCCCAGTCCTGACAAATATATATATTTATATTTAAAAATACATATATTTAAAGATTTATTTATTTATTATTATTTATTATTTATTATTTTGGAGAGAAAGAGATAGCAGGGGTGGGGAGAGGGAAAGTGGCAGAGACAGAGGGAGAGAGAGAACCTCCAGCAGAATCTCTGCTGAGCATGGAGCCCGATGTGGGGCTCGATCTCATGACCTTGAGATCATGGCCTGAGCCGAAATCAAGAGTCTGCCACTTAACTGACTGAGCCACCCAGGAGCCTCTGGTAACAGCAAATTGATGGGGTTTCTTCTGGGAAGGAGCTCTGTGGGAGGTGGTGGGTGAGGAGCCTCATGCGCAGGAGGACATTTTAAAGATAAAATGGTCCCTGACCTCACTGAGATCTTGCTTCAGAGAGGATGTTGCTCTAGTAGTTTATTGCTTATTTGACTATTACCTCATTAGAGTCTCACCACAATTCTGTGATGTAATTAGAACTCTTGTCATTGTCATCACTTGACAGATGAAGAAAGGCATGCGGAGAAGGGTAAGGGATTGGCTGGAGGTCACACAGCTAAAGAGTGACAGAGTCAGGGAGAGAATTGCAGATTCCTGGACCATTGTTCTTTCTATTTAAGCACTGAGTCAGAGTAACATATTTCTTCTGATTACTTTTTTAAAAAAAGATTTTATTTATTTGACAGAGAGAGAGAGACAGGGAGAGAGGGAACACAAGCAAGGGGAGTGGGAGAGGGAGAAGCAGGCTTCCCGCTGAGCAGGGAGCCCGATGCGGGGCTCGATCCCCGGACCCCAGGACCATGACCCGAGCC